AGTCCCTCTAGAGTGTCCTGGGTTTTCCCCGAGGCCTCCTCCTGGTGACTATCTAATTTAGTCAGCAATATTTAAAAATTACTAGAAAATGTTGCTTTGAATGTAATTAATTAATGCAGTATAATTTATAACATTTAATAATGACCTTATAACAGTAAAAACGTGAACAATCCCATTTATAACACAACAGAGTTCAATGCGGAAGACACTAGTCGAGCTGCTCCTGCCTTTACCTTGATTTGCTCACAGATATTTTACATTAAGATAGCACGTTCGCCTCACAAAAAGAAGGTCACTGGTTCGAGTCTCAGCTGGGACAGTTGGCATTTCTGTGTGATTTCTGAGTTTGCATGTTCTCCCTGTGTTTGCGTGGGTTTCCCTCACAAGTCCAAAGACATGTAGTATAGGTGAATTGAGTATGCTAAAGTTGTCCATAATGTATGAGTGTGTATAAATGTTTCCCAGTGATGAGTTGAAGCTTGAAGGGCATCTGCTGTGTAAAACATATGCTGGATAAGTTGGCGGTTCATTCTGCTGTGGCGACCTCAGATTAATAAAGGGATTAAGCTAAAAGGAAAATGAATGAATGAATGAATGGATTTGAGTTTGTAGCTTAGCAATTAAACAAAGAAACAAAAGGTTACGTTAAATTCAAAATGGCGATCTCTGTTAAAGGCATTCACCTCAACCACCTCCCCATCATTCTCCTTTTCATTTCAGATGGGATGGCAGGCCAAATCACAGGTATAATAACAATAGCAATAAACAATAACAATAAACAATAACAAGGTTACCACAGGCCAACTTTGGGCATCTCTGGTCTAGACGATATACAGATGAAGATACATAATTAGCATCTGTACAACAATAATTAATTATTCCATAAAAATATTTAGTGATCCATATTTCAAATTTCTGTTCAGAGAGGTCATGTTTTGATCTTTGATTGGTCTCATGCAGTCAAGTGATGTGATTTCAGCAGGTCAGAGTTCACCAAGCTTGAACTTTGCAAAGCAGTGAACTGCGAAACTTGATGCACGATCTTGCGCTTCCAGTCTGACGAATTCGCGTGCGTATGAAGGGAAGTCTATGGATAGAAAAGTACAGTGTAACCGAAGCTTAATGCGATTCTCTATCCCTGTGTGAACTTAATGAGAACTATGAACCAACAGATATAGTTACTATATATATATATATATATATATATATATATATATATATATATATGTAGAACCATGAACGAATAGATAGATTGTGAACCTAACGAGAATTATGAACCAATAGATGACAGTGTTTATAGCAATTCTCTACACCTGTGTGAACTAATAGATGAGAACTATGAGCCAATTGATAATAGTGTTAAATGCGATTCTCCATACATATGTAAAACTAATAAGAACTATGAACCAAAAGATGACAGTGTTCATTGTATTTCTCTACATCTGTGTGAACCAATAGATGAGAACTATGAACTAGATGACAGTGTTTTATGCAATTCCTACATCTGTGTGAACCTAACGAGAACTATGAACCAATACATGACAGTGTTTAATGCAATTCTCTACACTTGTGTGAACCAATAGATGACAACTATGAACCAATAGATAATAGTGTTAAATGTGATTCCCTACAACTGTGTGAAAAAATAGATGAGAACTATGAACTAGATGACAGTGTTTAATGCAATTCCAACATCTGTGTGAACCTAACGAGAACTATGAACCAATAGATGACAGCTTTTAAAGCAATTCTCTACACTTGTGTGAACCAATAGATGATAATATGATAACTAAAGAGAACTATGAACCAATAGACGATAGTGTTAAATGCAATTCTCCATACATATGTGAAACTAATGAGAACTATGAACCAAAAGATGAGCGTTTAATGTCATTCTCTACACTGTGTGAAATTAACGAGAACTATGAACCAATAGATGATAGCATTTAATGCAGTTCTCTACACCTGTGTAAACCATTAGATAAGAACTATGAACCAATAGATGATAACATGATAATTATAGAGAACTAAGAACTAATAGATGGTAGTGTTAAATGCGATTCTCCATACATATGTTAAACTAATGAGAACTATGAACCAAAAGAGGACAGTGTGCAATTATTTACACCTGTGTGAACTTAACGAGAACTATTAACTAATAGATGAGAACCACTAAACATCACCAAAACACCAATTGACCCAAAGACACAGTGACTTCAGAAATGAAGTAAAATGAAGGGCATCCTGCAGCATTTCCTGATGTAATATAGTAAAATCGTGATCAGTGACACTATATAGTGGCTTTTGAGGCCTCTCTTCATTTTCGCACCCGACAGGTGATGCTTCTTACATCAACTTCTGCTCTTCGGTCTAAAAAAGCAGATCTGACCCAAAACTCTCTACCAGAAAGCAATTTGACACTTTCCAAAAGTCGCTGCATGATTTAATGCACTGAACTGTGACATGATAGAAAGTCTCACATCCGTGAACAACAGAGTGAGGAAGAGGAAGTAAGCAGGAGACCACAATCTGAGCAAACAGACAGAAATATAGAGACAAACTGAAGATAATCTTACTTTATTCTGGAGCCCATGGTGCACCTGTGTGTTGGGGCCCATCCGGGGGTCTTCAGGGCATCAGCAGACCAAAGGCATTAAATCCTTTACCAACATGCATCGACACACACACTTCTGCACACACACATCCACACATCAAACAGCCAAATCCGCCGACTAGCACACGACTGAAGACGGCACTTCCTGATATATATATGTATGTGTGTGTGTGTGTGTGTGTGTATGTGTGTGTGACCTACATGACATTTACTGATGCTGACTTAATATTTTTAACTAGATATCTTCATTTGTTTTTAATGTATATCACATATATTATGTATTACCCTTTATTTCTATAATATTTTATGACCTTAACGTGCATTTCCATTCCCTTTCACCTAGTGATTGATGAAAACATAAACATATGAAAGAGGAAACAGGATTATATTATGTTTAATGAGTCGTTGTTTCTCTCTCTAAGTCTATCACTGGCCAGCAAACAGGTATGGCAGACAAATCCTCTATTTACATAGACACACAGTCTCTTTTAAAACACAAACACACACCATTCTGACAGCTCCTTTAAATAGCATCGTCATTATACGATATTCAGGTTTTTGGTACCCGTTGTTTTATGAAAATGGTTCCCTCTAGTGTTCATTGGTGGAGCAGCATGACATTTACGTTTTTAACAGTGAAAATCAAGACTAAAGTTTAATATTTAACGGATAAAATATTCCAGAGAACATGATTTTATTAAAGTTTTAACAAAATTTTGTAGTAAAAACTGAGATAATTTTTAATAATGTTTTCTTCTGAAAAGATCAGACTCTGAGATGCCCTAACTAGGGCACGCGGGCCTAAGTAAGCCCTTAATATCATTTGATTTGGCCCGCCAGAGGGAAAATGATTTTGGAGAATGACTAACAGAGATTCTCATTTATATAGTAATGTAATCTTTTGTTTGTTTGCTTGTTTTATTGTTGAGCTAAAAAAAAAAAAAAAAAAAAAACATCTGAAATTAAGTGTTTCAATTAAAGGTTGTAAAGGATAGAATTTTTTAAGAAAGTACACAGTCACTCAACGAGCAGGGAACAAAGCAGAAGACATCAGTGTGCAAATGAATGAAAGGCAGGTTCAGCATGACTATATTCGGCATTGAACCCCATTGTTTTACAAATTGATTTTTTAATGGTTTTATTGTAATAAGTTTGTTAAAATAATATGCACTACCGGTCAAAGGTTTTGGGATTTTTAAATGTTTTAAGATAAGCTTTACCTGCTGCTCACCAAGGCTGCATTTATTTTTATCAAAAATACAGTACACATTGTAAAATGTTATCGCACTATAAAAAAAAGTAGTTTAGAATTTAATTAAATATTATATTCCAAAGATTTTCAGCTTCATTACACCAGTCTTCGGTCACATGATCCTTAAGACATCACTTTAATATCAATTATTATTGTTGTTATTACATTATTATTATTAAAAGCAATAATGACAGGAGTAATTTCATTTGAAACTTTATTTTATAAGAAAGCAGTTATTTAAAATTGTAATAAACATTTAAGTTTCACAATTTTCTTTTACATTGAATAAATGCCGCCTTGATGAACAGAATAATTTTCTTAAAAACAAAACATGAGAAAAAAAAAATGACCCTAAACTTTTGACCGGTGGTGTAGGCTACATTTTCAAAAACAAATTAGTATGAAGTATATGTAAAATATTAGTATATAATAAAGCATTAGTAAATGCGATTGAAGTATGTTTTTGCTATTAATTTATAAATATTGGGAAATAAATTAGGAAATTACCCATGGCAACTTCCTACAGTTTGCTTGCTATATTTAATTTCGGCCCACAGCTCTAAATCAACCTTGGATTTTGGCCCTTCATAAGAAAAAGTTTGGCCACCCCTGACCAAGATGAAAAGATAATATAGTATTTTATAGTGAATATTTAATGAACGCTACATCAAACCTCATGCAGCATTACAGTGAAATGATAAACTAGCCTATGCCTATGATGAAGTTCATAAATGGCGCAATTTGGAGTCCAACACGTCTCAAATTAACTCAGTTTTATAGTAGGCTATTAATAATTTGCTTTCATGTAAGTTTCCTTTAGTAATATAGCACATATTCTAAAACATTACTTGGCCTACATCTTACCTTGCTTTCTTTGACAGTAAAACTGAAGCTTCTCACACTCCTCCTCGGTGGTAGTCTAAATCCAGCCTTTCTTTAATTCAATCTTTAAAAATTCAATTTGTAAACTATTTTGTATATAACATTTATATACTACTTATAGATATATACACTAGATGTCGCCTGGCCTATTGTTGTCTATTGGAAGGAATGCGTCAATAGCGCCGCCATCTTGCTACAGGGTAGCGCTCCTGTGAAATGAATGCGGGACCAAGGTACAGTGGAGGACTGTGGCCATCCAAAGCCAGAGATATACACATATATCTATGATCGGGAGTTTTCCTGGATGTTAGTATGTAATTTTTTTTTTAATTACGAAAATTATAATTTTACATTTTCTACATTGATGGATCAGTGACCGCACGAGGATTCCTGACAAAAAGCTTGCGTTTGTGTGTAGAAATGTACTATTCACCCTCCCTGTTAAATTTAATATAATCCGTGTCCTGAAACACAGCTCCTCTCCTGCTTTCACTGCTCATACTGACGGAGGGAGCGATTCGTTTGTGAATGAATCTCCTTTATGAACGACTCCTTCACTAGCCAACAATAATACAAGTTTCTGGCAGCGCAGCATCTCGTTGTCATATTTCTTTTGCATTGTTTGCTGATTTTATTCAACAAAACTAGCATAAGCCGAGTGTTTAGTGCGAGTTGGAGCTGCTTTGCCGTATGGTGAATGCAGTAAGTGACTGTATTATTATCGATAACGTTACCTGTATAGCACAAAGTTCAGAACATATAAAAACAGAAAAAAACTTAATATTACCTATGAAATGTTCAGCCTTTGTGCTTTGTTTTCTTTGTTTGCTCGTTACTACACCTGTAGACAGAGCTAAAGTCCCGCATCTTCACGTAATAACACTTGACTAGTGCGGTTGAATGACATTTGTCCTGGGAGCACTGTACCAATGTGGCGGCGCTATTGACGCATGCTGAGGGTCCCTATGCGATATCTAGTGTATATATCTATGTATACTACTTATTTGTTTGATATATACACGTTACGCTATTTTACCTCAGACACTTGACCGTTAAAACGAAAGTGTCAACTGAAGGGCGCTCAGCTTTTAACGATAAATCCCGCCTTTAAATTTTTGAATTAATTTTTGAACATCTCAAACATTTTAAATTTGCATATAATCATGAAAACAACTTTAAACACGTATTAATATCATAACCAAATGGTTATTAAAGTGTGGCTGAAGGAGATACTATATAAAATCCATGTTTTAAGTCCCAGTATTATGGTTCTTCTTTTTCATTCCTTTAAAACCGGATTTAACAAATTTTTAACCATTTTTATTCTTCTTTTTTATTTTCTTATACTTGTATTTTATGTTTATTTTATTCTATACCATTGTGTATGAAATGTGCTATATAAATAAACTTGCATTGCTTTGCCTATAGTAAAATCTAAGTGAAAGGAAGTTCTTTCCCCAGCAGTTAATTATAAGATCTATGTTCTTAAAATCACAACGCGTATATATATTTTTGCTGTTGTATTTATTTATTCAGTAAATACATAGTCATTTTAACACAGTAAGGAATGAGCTAAAAGAAAAAAAATCACACACAAGAGTTTAAATAGACTTTCTCTGTTTAACAGAACTAGACTCGTGTATATAATAATGTAAGCGATGGCGATCACGCAGCCTCCTCTTCGCCCTCCTCCTCGAACTCTCCCTCCTCGGCGGTGGCGTCCTGATACTGCTGGTACTCGGACACCAGGTCGTTCATGTTGCTCTCGGCCTCGGTGAACTCCATCTCATCCATTCCCTCACCGGTATACCAATGCAAGAAGGCCTTGCGGCGAAACATAGCCGTGAACTGCTCTGAAATTCGCTTGAAGAGCTCCTGGATGGCTGTACTGTTTCCAATGAAGGTCGCCGACATTTTGAGCCCGCGAGGTGGAATGTCGCAGACGGCCGTCTTGACGTTATTCGGGATCCACTCCACAAAGTAGCTGCTGTTCTTATTCTGGACGTTCAGCATCTGCTCGTCCACTTCCTTCATGGACATGCGACCGCGGAAAACAGCCGCCACGGTTAGGTAGCGCCCATGGCGTGGATCACAAGCGGCCATCATGTTTTTGGCGTCAAACATCTGCTGGGTGAGCTCCGGGACGGAGAGCACTCGATACTGCTGGCTCCCCCTGCTGGTCAGAGGAGCAAATCCGGGCATGAAGAAGTGCAGGCGTGGGAAGGGCACCATGTTGACGGCTAGTTTGCGGAGATCAGCGTTAAGCTGGCCGGGGAACCTCAGACAGGTGGTGACGCCGCTCATGGTGGCCGAGACGAGATGGTTGAGATCTCCGTATGTAGGTGTGGTGAGTTTGAGCGTGCGGAAGCAGATGTCATAAAGCGCCTCGTTATCAATACAATACGTTTCGTCAGTGTTTTCCACCAGCTGATGGACGGACAGTGTGGCGTTGTAGGGCTCCACAACCGTATCGGACACTTTGGGAGACGGCACCACACTGAAGGTGTTCATGATGCGGTCCGGAAACTCCTCGCGGATCTTACTGATGAGAAGCGTTCCCATGCCAGAGCCCGTTCCTCCACCCAGAGAGTGCGTCAGCTGGAAACCCTGCAGGCAGTCGCAGCTCTCGGCTTCCTTGCGCACCACATCCATCACTGAATCCACCAGCTCAGCCCCCTCCGTGTAATGACCTTTAGCCCAGTTATTACCAGCTCCGCTCTGGCCTACGAGGACGACACAATATCTATTAACCAGTCATGAACATGCTATTCAAAATGGTGAGGATGAAACTGAAATGCATATTTGAAGTGTTTAAAATCTCAGCAGGTTGGATCATTTACTAGTGAGGATGAACTGAAAATGCTCAGGTAACGATTAATGACAGGTACATTTTTTCCTACACGGTCATTCTAATGAATCAGATGTCAGTCGCTTTGTTTCCATCCACCTATTTTTAAAAACATTTTGGAATATTGCATAAAGAATATTTTTGTATTCAAATGTCCAATATATATATATATATATATATATATATATATATATATATATAAAAATATATATAGTTGAAGTCAGAATTATTAGCCCCCTTTGAAATTTCCTTTCTATTTTACTTTTTTTTTTAAATACTGTTTAACAGAGCAAGGAAATTTTCACAGTATGTCTGATAGTATTTGTACTTATTTTTACTTATTTTTACTTTATACAATACAACTAGGGATGCACAATATATCGGCAGCCATATCGGTATCGGCCGATAAATGCTATTTTTAATGTTACCGTTATCGGTCTGATATCGAAAGTAGGTCGATATCTTTAAGCTTATAGATTATGTCATTGTCAGCCTGATCTCATGAGGAAACGTAAGTATTTTACGTTTCGTCAGTTTAGAGAGTTCAGTCGTGCAAAAATATATGATTTTAAAAAGGAGGCGTGGCACCCAACCCCACCCCTAACTACAAGCGTCATTGGGTAATGAGCAAATCATACAAATTGTATAAATTAGATCGTACGAATTAATACGAGTTAGCCACTAAATCAAACAGTTACGAATTGACGTAAAATCGCGTTGGTCATGGTACAGAAGTGCCTGCCTCTCATTTTGTTATTTAACCTATTATTTTCATGCAAACATCCAGTTGTATGATAATTTGCTATGCAAAGAAAAGGAAATAATATATTTCTGTTATGCTGATTTATCTGAATATAGGTCTATATAACCACCTTGCGATTTAGAAATTAATTTGAGTATGCTATTCTAAGATCTGTTCAACTTTTATGAAGTTTTTTAAATAATGTCTATTGTTCACTGTATAAAAAGATAACATTTCGAAATATTTAGATTTTTATCGGCTAATATATCAGTTATCGGCTTCCAAATCTAAAGTTATCGGTTATCGATATTGGTCCAAAAATCCATATCGGTGCGTCCCTACATACATACATGCCATAAAAAGGCTATACATGCACTCATCAAATTTTTCCTCAAGCTTAGTCTTTGCTAAAAGATATAAAATATGATATAAAATATATCCCAGATGAGTTTTTCTGTCAATTATATCATCGTTTATACATTTTAAATAATAACATTATGCATAACATTATTCAAGGTTTTCAAGGTCACTGGGAGTCTATGATTTGTGGTTGGACTTGGTTGAATTTTCATCTTTAGAAATCACTAGATATTCAATAGATAGTCAACCTAAAAATGGAAATTTGGTCATTGTTTACTAAATCTATGTTGTTCAAAACCTTAATTTGTTTCTTTCTTTCTCATGTAGTACACAGAACATAAATATTTAGGCATGCAAGACAAGACTAGACCCAATTAACTTGACCAGAAGAACAAAAGGTGTATGTGGTACAGTATGTAGAGAGTAAGAAAATATAAGTAACCTTCAGGTTAAATAACTTCACCTCACCATGAATATATCTCTGCACTTATTTCATTTATCTGTACAATTGCACTGCATTCTAGCTAACCAAACAAACATTAATGCATGTCATCAGTTTAAAGCAGTGGTCACCAAACTTGTTCCTGAAGATCCGGTGTCCTGCAGATTTTAGCTCCAACCCTAATCAAACACACCCGAACAAGCTAATCAAGGTCTTACTAGGTATACTTGAAACACCCAGGCAGGTGTGTTGAGGCTAGTTGTAGCCAAACTCTGCAGAAACGCCGGCCCTCCAGGACCGAGATTGGTGACTGCTGGTTTAAAGTATAGTGTGTTTATTTACCAAAAACAAAGTTGTCAGGTCTGAATATCTGTCCAAAAGGACCCGAGCGGACTGAATCCATGGTTCCAGGCTCTAGATCCACAAGGATGGCACGAGGGACATACTTTCCACCTGATAAAGAAACAGAGCACCAGAAAATCCCCTTTACAACTTAAAGACTTCAGATGTTTGTATGAAGATGTAAATAGTGGTGATGTGCCTACCCGAAGCTTCGTTGTAGTAAACGCTGATGCGGTCCAGCTGCAGGTCACTGTCTCCATGGTAGGAGCCGGTGGGGTCAATCCCATGCTCATCGCTGATCACCTCCCAGAACTGACACAAGAGAAACCATCACATTATCGGATGCTGTCCAATAGGAGGTTGTCTCATATTTTAGATTAAGATTGCAGGGTAAATGTTAAAGAAATGTATGCACAATTTTGTAACAGTCAAAATGTTCCTTGCTTTCAATTTATTATTTTCGGAGAAGCAGTCAGTTTATTTAGGAGTTTTCTTTGTCACCTAACTGTTAAGTGAGTTAGCACTGGGACCAAATCACCTCAACAACATTATTCATGCCATAAGATCTCTCAAGTGGTGTATACCATTGTCTACTGGGCCTTGGTCGGATGGATTCCTTCACCCAGATTTGAGCTCAATCAACAACGTGGGCAATATGAAACAATGGGAATCATTGCTTCGCACTCAAATATTCATCAAACGATAAGCTCCCTTGGAGGCACTGACTTCATCTCAAAAAGACTATTAAGGGTGCTTTCACATCTGTAGTTCGCTTCATTTGGTCCGGACCAGGCGCAATAAATGATGCATTGTTGCATTTTCTGCCGTCTTTGGGTCGTTTTCACACCACACTGCTGGCTTTGGTACGAACCAGTTGAAACGAACCAAAATGCAGTCATCTGACAAAATCCACATCTCTCATTGGCCAGATGTTGGTGAACATATTTCCTAAACTGCTTATTGATTGGTCAGAATCACGTGCGGGAAAATGCCAGTGAACTCCTGCAGGTAGACAAAACCTTTTACTCTGGAGGGACGACTGCGCTGACTGATAGTATTCCTGCTTTAGACAAACTATACATTACGAAAATGAAGCGCGGCCGTGGCTGGAAAACAGTGTTTATTTAATGCATCGCTCATCACTTCAGGAGGAGACGTGAATTAATTGAGCTAAACTGCGACATGGTCATCTTGCGGAAATATTACCAACAATCCATCAGGTAATGTTTTCCCCCCTCTCTCTCTCTCTGTTGGTAAAGCGCTGTCAACAAATATTTTTCCTCCATATCCCATAATGCATAGCGCATCGGCCTACGGCAGCTGAATTAGTCCAAAACGTGCAGTGCTTTTTGCGGTTGGGCCTGTTTTAGTACGGATCATATTCTCAACACAAACGAACCGCTCCAGGGTCCTTATATAAGCTTATATTGAATACGCTTATTTGGTCCGCTTTTGGTGCGCACTCGAGTACGATTGCTGCATTCTCGCCAGCCCAAACGAATCGCACCGAAAGGGAAAACGAACTCTAGTGCGATTCAATCGAACTAAATAAGGCAGGTGTGAAAGCACCCCTAAGAAAACAACTTTATAGGTTGTTTTTAGTTTGTTTTTTGTTTTTTTGTTTGAATACAGCACATCAGAATCAGAAAGAGCTTTATTGCCAGGTTTGTTCACACACAGGAATTTGTTTTCTTGATGGAGCGTCTACAGTGCAACAGAATTACAGACAAAAACAGATAATACTAATATTAAAAATAAAAATTAGTAACTATTAATTAATTATTATATTTATAATAAACATATTACATGTGGGTAATATAAATAAAAACCAAGGTATATATTATAATTTGTTTTGTGAAGAGTTTATTTTATTTAGTACGCCGAATTTTGCTGAACCCCTCAGAGCGATACCAAATGTAAAAATGTGTTGCACTTTGCATGTTGGTTAAAAATGATCAAACTCGATAGATTTGTAAATCTCGTCATATTTTGTTGCTGTCGTTACAATAACTAGATTACAATCACCCAAGTTCATCGAGTTCACCCGAAAATGAACATTGACTTTATGAATTTCTTACTTTTCTTGAACATATAAAACTTATATGATTTTTTTTCTAATTGAACATTGATAATAGTCAAAAATACCATGAAAGTTAATGGCTGTTTTTTTTTTTTAAATCCAACATTCTCTCTCTCTCTCTCTCTCTCTCTCTCTCTATCTATATATATATATATATATATATATATATATATATATATATATATATATATATAAAGATGAAGATGTAAATATATCTATATATATATATATATATATATATATATATATATATATATATATATATATATATACCTTTGTGTTCAACCGAAGAAAGCAACTCAAACCAGTTTGGAACAACTGATGACGGAGTTTTCCTTTTGGGGTGAACTATCCCTTATATTATGAGGCGACATTTTTATATTGTAACAAAATATGATAGCATTTCATATGATAAATTTCATTCTGTATTCTTTGCATAACTGATTAAGTAGTAGTATTAGTAGTGTTATAGTCAGTGTCACAGAATATACCTGAAGGACAAATGACTGAACTGACTGAAAACTGAAGAAGAAAATGAACACACCCTACGAATAATTTAATGGATCAAATATAATAGAGTTAATTTGAGTTCTATAGCACAAACAATCTAACATAAATATTCTTAACCTAAACATTAATCACTACACATCAAGTCGATTAGCTGGAAATCCATAGCACGACAAAAATGAGCGAGCATCGCCATCACTCGAGCAATGACAAGGGCGTCGCCTTCGCCTGAGAGATGAAAACAAGACACTGCGTGCTAATCATTAAACCTGTCGTCTTTATTTAACATACTAATCATGCAGCATTTTGAATGAAATAGCCTCACATCTCTTTATGACAGCCAGACGTCTATTATTATGACGTAACATGAACTCATTGACCGTGACGCGTTATTTAGAGACCATTAAAACATCGAATACATTAATTTCTAGAAACATCGAGTGCAAAAGTAGGAAACAAGATGCTTTTTTAATGCCATCAAAGCAGACGAAGGTCTGTTTTCGTGTTTATTTTGGCTGATGTACCTTCGCTCCGATCTGATTCCCGCACTGGCCCGCCTGCAGGTGCAATATCTCGCGCATGTTGGCTTCAGATGTCCGGCGACTTCGAAGAAAGCGGTGAAAATACAGTGGAGAACACGGCAAAACCTCTCACACTCTCTCCGCACGACTCCGAGACTAGTGCGCGCTCCCGCGGCAGCCTTGCTCCGTGCGTGCTGCATTGTGACGTCATGGTCTCCATGACAACCGAGCGGATGAGACGGTCCAAAGATCCTTCATCTTCCTCCAGGAGACGCTCTGACATGATCTAGCCCTTCATGCATTTTAAACAACATTAACAGCATTATGGAAAAACTATAAAGTACATATTTTCCCATTATACATTTCACTTCCAGAATAAAACATTTTAAACGTCCAGATGATTTGCTGACCCCTTCATCTTGCAAGATGTCGTTCTTTATTTATTTGAAGGCCAACAAATGCAGGATTTCTCTCCATACAGTGGTGTGCAGTCAGTGGTTTGAACATCCAAACTGGAGTTTCACATAGCCAGGGGGGATTCAGAAGACCCACCCCTGGACAAAAGTCCAGAATTTGTCCCATTTATGAGCTCATTTGTCCTCATTTGTCAATTATGAATAATTTAGGTACAAATGTGTACCTTTAGTACAGCTTTCTGAGTGTAAATAATTCAAATTCAGATGTCCTAAAGGTATTAATATAATAAGTATAATTGTAGTATGGGGCAGCACCATGGCGCAGTGGGTAGCACAATCGCACAATAAGTGAAAATAACCCATCGAAAAAAGGCTTTAAGATCAAGCGGAATCCTGGTGTGACTAGTTAATCAATGCAAACAGTCCAACATCCTGCTGTGCAAGAAAACATCTGACACAATTAAAGTCATCCTACTGTATTGTTTTTAAAAAGAGAAAACATTTGATGAGCAACTTTTATTCCATAAATCTTGGACCATATTCCTGAAAGAAAACATGACCAATAAAAAAAGTGTGAAGCACTTTTACAAGTAAACTTGTGAAGCTCTAATAATAATAATAATAATTGTAATAATAATAAAAATAATAATTTACTGTTGTTGTTGTTGTTGTTATTATTATTATCATCGTTATTGTTATTTATCATTATTATTATTATTATTATTATTATTATTATTATTATTATTATCATCATCGTTATTGTTATTTATCATCATTATTATTATTATTATTTTTATTGTTGTTATTATTTATTATTATTGTCATTATTATCATTATTATTATTGTTATTATTATTATTATTATTATTACCATCATCGTTATTGTTATTTATCATCATTATTATTATTATTATTATTATTATTGCTATTATTTATTATTATTGTTATTATCATTATTATTATTATTGTTGTTTTTTATTATTAATAATATTATTATTGTATTATTATTATTATGATTATTAATAATAATAGTAATAAATAATAACAACAACAACAACAACAATAATAACAATAATAATAATACATATTATTATAAATATTATTATTATTATTATTATTATTTTGTTTCAGTTTTTTATTGTTCAAATAGCCAAATTCTGACTGAGGAACGTTGAATGTGCTGGCCAGTTTGCTATATGCTTAATAAATTACACTTGGCTACGGTTTAATTGAAAACTTTTTTCTAATGATATATGATGGTGTTTTAAAAATAAATATTGGTCATATTTCTTTTATCTAAATATTTAGGAAATATTTTTGGTACACCAAAAAGTGTGGTTATGATGACCATCTGACAAGCTAATCCAGCTAAAAATTGTGTTTAAAATGTCACCTAAACTCAGCATTTAAATCTTCATAATCTCCCCTATTTTGCATTTAAAAAGGTCATATTTTGGTTCCAACAACAGGCTGATATGCGTGCAAGGTCAAATGACACTTTCATTGTTTTATAACAGTGTTTCTCAACTTTAAGTCTTTTGAATAAGGCGACGCAGTGGCGCAGTGAGTAGCACGTTCGCCTCACAGCAAGAAGGTCACTGGTTTGATCTTCGGCTCAGTTGGCGTTTCTGTGTGGAGTTTGCATGTTCTCCCTGCATTGCTGGATAAGTTGGCGGTTCAATTCGGTGTGGCGACCCCAGATTAATAAAGGGACTAAGCTGACAAGAAAATGAATGAAGTCTTTTGAATATGTTAAGCTGCTGTGATCAACCCACTGAAACGTTTTTAGTAAATATTACATTACTGAAAGATCTGCAGTTTATTTAGTATTTTTATAGGTATATTTTATTTTTTAAAAGTAACTGCAAAGTAATAATCTGATTACTTTTTACATTATGTAATTAGTAATGTAATCAGATACAAGTTTTCCAGTAGTAATCAGTTATTTTTTAATCTATTACTCATTTAAAGTAACTCACCCAACACTGATCACGATGGAGCGCGTCTGACAGTCATGCACCGCTAAATGAACGGACTGTTTTGAGGATTGTATAGGAGGGGCAACGGCGCCTCTAATGGAAAGAAAGAGAATCCCGCTGTTATTTATTTCAGTTTATTTACATTTATTTCAAAGTGTTTTCATGTCTAAATAAAATGAAAGCACAGTACAGACTCGCATTTAAGAGCAGGCTGTGCCCTCTCGTGGTTCGGTGGTATGGGTTGTGTATAGGAAGATTCGGCTCTTTGATGTTTATTGCCGACCTTCATAGAAAGATAAAAAAACACGAGAGAATCACAGAAATAAACCCATCGCAGGATTACAGCGGGATTCAATTGTAAAATACGGGAGAATCCTGGTAAAAACGAGATGGTTGACAGGTATGCTTAAAACATATTTTATTCATATTTCTATTCCCAGCTGTGATCACATTGACAGGGGTTTACAGTAATCAAATATTTTTTGCTCTTGCATTTCATCACATATCATACTGTATCTTACAGTTTTTATTTAATGCCATTTATTGCTGTCATGTCTCTGGAGTCATGTTCCATCTACCGTACAAGAACTGCACGTCTCCAGTTAATATTCAATAACTCGACTGACCTACATTAGGAAGAAGCTGTGTATTTACCACTGCCGTTGGTCATCCACCCTAACCCTGCGATGCTGTTTACAAATATTTACTGGCAGTCATTCATGGTTTCAGCACTGATGAACTATGAACTCTTGGATGCTGCAAAACCACAGCCTCTGTCTTTATATAAGATCAGCATGTTGTTATTTGCAAGAGCGGACTGACACTTTGTACAGAACTAGTTTAACAGATTTTTCTAAAAATATTATTGCATTGCACAAAAGAATAAGGATTTAAAATAACGCCAACACTGCATTTTTCATATTTTACTAACAATTACAGAAAAAAAGATCAACAGAAGCGGTGCCAGCTTACCAAAGGTTGAATTTACCCAGCCGCTTTTGCAGGTCATTTACAGGAAACTGAACTGCACTGCTGTTTACTCTGCAAATACCTCTGAGATCTCGTTTAGTTCCCCTGTCTGATGCACTTGTGATTTGAGAAAAACTTAAATTCTTCAATTCCACTAACAAAAGTAAACGTCTTCTTTATGTTTCTGACAGTCACAACAGATATTAATATTTTTAATTCATTAATTATTCATATTTGACTCTATTTTTCATACTACTTGCAAAGACAAATCTCTGATATCTCCCTAGAACTGAAAACACTCAGAATATTGTTTGAGACTTTATTTTGAACTAGTAAAAATATATGTAGTCATACTTAAAATATATAAATGAGTAGCCAAATATGCAAATAACACAATAACAATAGGCAAAAAACAAATAAACAAGGGTATTTTTAAAAAACGGCTCGGTGGATGGGGGTGGGGTGGGGGGTTCTTCTGAAAACAAAGATTTCGTTTTAGTCAGGTTATAGTAAGTTTGAATAAATCTGATTGGCTCACTAATCATTTCCGATTTCAGACCAGCTGCTGTCAATCATATCACGTGCTCCTCTTGAAATTAGTTTGTGAAACTTCCCTTAAAGCCCCATTTTATAACCACCTACTATGAATACAAGTTTTTTTTAATGCAAGTACAAATGCAAACAGAGAGAGACGGAGAGATAGAGATTTTTTTTTATTATCAATCACTTTAAGAAACAATAATTCTCCAGTCATTCACATTATGTTAAACACAATAAAAGAACGATAAACACAAAACACCTTACATGCTGGAACAATCCATTCTACTCCCCCCTCCCACCATTACAATGCTCATCTATTAAACTCCTTCGAAAGATACAATCCCATCCTGTAATATCACATCTCCAGGCAATATGGAAAAGAATAGCAAAAACATTAAAGTTTAACCCATTTTTGAGTACAATCTCAAGTATTTCAATTTCAAGTAGATTCTTCAGCCACTCTGCTCCTCAGCTTTGGAATTCACTTCCTCCTGATCTCTGTGATTTAGACTCTCTTTCACAATTTAAGTTCAGACTCAAAACACATTTGTTTAGAACAGCCTATTCTCTTTGACCCGATTGCGTTTTTAAAGTTTGTATTGTATTCTATTGTTTTTATTGTGTTTACATTTGAATTGATTGTTTTAGCTGTCCTGTACGGTGACCTTGAGTGTCATGAAAGGGGCCTTTAAATAAAATGCATTATTGTTATTATTATTATTATTATTATTATTATTTGGCTGAATCCCAAACTGTATATCAAAAAAATCGAATTACTTGAAGGGAATGGATAAAGAAAGGTATTTTTAGGTTAAGTGATCTCTTTGGAAACGACAATTTAAAATCCTTTAACCAATCATCACAACATTTTGGCCTCAACAAGAATCAGTTTTGGAGATATTTACAGATTAGGCATCTATTAAATAGGACTTTTAAGATTGGTAATTGAGCTCCGGAGGAGGACTGTAATTTAACAGTAATTCTTAGATTGTATGACAGAGGGCATGACGTTTCAGTGTATTATAAATGGTTAATGGAAAAGATGGGGTGTGGTTTCTATTCTGCTCTTTAAACAGTTTGGAGTAAAGAGCTAAACTGTATACTTAGTGATGAACATTGGATAAAAAAAGTGTAAAAGCTGTAAAGTAATGTCAAGGAATTCAGGAGTGCGTTTAATACAATTTAAAATCGTTTTAACTGGACTCCAAGTAGGCTTTTCAGACTTGGGTTGAAG